TATGCTGGATTTAAATTCACGTGGTAAAAATACTAATACAAACCACTAAGTTATACGGTCTAATTAATCATACATATTTACATTAATAATTTTCGCCAAAAAAATTTTTTTTTTTTAAAAGGAAAAAGATATAATGAAAGAGTGCCTTATAGAAATATATAAGACCACCTCCATGGATGGATCTAAAGTGGGCATCTGAAAATTAAAAGCCCAAAAATAGAATAAAAGCTCTAAGATGGTGATGATGATGTAGTAGTAGTTGTTGCCTCATCTTGTGAAAGAGAAGAAGAAGAGCCATTAGAGGAAGGAGACATCTCGCCGCCGGCAGGAATATCTTGAAGCGCCGCAAGAATCCGGCGGATGCTGACGGACCTCGCCGGCCGGAAACTGTAAGCCCTCTTCATAGAATTAGATTTAGAGAAAACCCTCGACGACTTCGAGAGGATAAGATAGACCAAAGCTTGAACAAGAGCAAATAATGCCACTTTCATCAACGTCGTTCCAAAGTCACCCTCCATTTTGCTTGTATAATCGACTTTGATATGAGATTTCAGACAAGAGGTTTGATCAGACAGAGATTGTAATTTGGTAAAGAAAAACGTTTTTCTTATTTCTTGGATTGTTTCATGCAAGAAGTTAAAGTGAATTCTTTAACAAAACAAAAAAGAAGTTAAAGTGAATTTATAGAAGAGAGAAAGCGCCTTGCTTATTTGACCAGAGGCAGAGACGTGGAAGTATCGGACATAAACCACATAATGTTGTTAGACCTTATCCGATCAAACTTCAAAGAAAAAGACAAGTCATATTTTTCTCTAGAAAATAATCCATGGTAGAACAATGAAAATTCAATAATTTAATAGTTGACAATGAAAGTGAAATATTATATTTATAATATGAAAAAAATAGAGAAGTTGCACTATAAAACCACAAAATTGCAATCAATCAGAATGGTCATCAGTTTTTTTATATAATAAAAATTAGAAGAAAATATATCTTTAATTATATTTGTTTTACAAAAATAAATTAAAAACAAGATTTGACGGATTTTTGTAGATCATGGATCTAGAGTTTATGGTTGGACCTTTCTGTAGAGAAGGGGAGCTCCATATGCTGGATTTGAATCTCGTTGAAAATGTACTAATTTACGTGTTCTAGTAATCCGGTCTACAAAGACATAAAGCCAAAAGCTCTGAACTTTATCAAAAGAAAATTTGACGACGTATATGTGGATATTTTTGGAAAATAGGCGGTTTTATGTGGACACAAATGCTTAAAAAACCATTCGAAAAGAATATTATTTATGGATTGTCATGTCCGATACAAGCACTTTCGCTTTTGATTCTACACATCCCGACAATCATATAAAGTGTCTTCTTTTTTTTTTGTGGTTGAGTTTGAAGGAGAACGCTTGGACATTCATCATATTCGGGTCGTAATCCTTAGGCAAACTGTTTTGTAGTAAGGTGGATTTAGAACAAAAACAGTAACATGACTTGGTGGTATATACTCGTTCTTATAACTTTATCGTCCGTAAAATGATTCCTTATAGAATTTTTTTGTTCATATACATTAATGTTCATATACTTCACTGCCCATACTTATTGAATTCGGTGCTGATACCAAAAAGCGTAATACACCAATCTTTTGTTCTCGCCATCAAGCATAAAAAACTATTGTACACCATGAGACATTATTAAGAGATTAAAAGATTACATAAAATGGTATATAACTTGTACGTAAGTCAAAAAGAAAAAAGGAAAAAAAAATCCAATCAACATACATCATCATAATTTTTTTTTTTTTTTAAAACATACATTATCAATCCATATTCCATAATACTAGAGACCCAAAAGAGAAAGTCAGAATCAGAAAACGATGCCGTTTTCAACGAAGAGGAAACCAACTTTCTTTAAACTGAGATTGATAAGAAACCATGAAGAAGAGAAAGACGAGCATGAAAGCCACTCCCCATGATGTTCCTCCAGCTCTATACAAAGACTCTCTTTCGTTCATATGGATCAATGACGTCATCATCCCTCCTCCTCCATCGTTAGATAGAAAATGAACGGCTAAGAGCAAAAGCAGAGGAGAAACCATTAGAGCAAGCTTGAGCTGGTCCGTAAAACCTTCAATAACCGGTTCGTAGCTTGCGTACCACGAAATCGTTACGAACATTAAGAGGGTTAAGACGAAGACACAAAGATGTAGTGGAACTGGAGGGCTTCCTTCTCCCATATGGCTTACCTCTCTCTTTCTTTAGATTATTGATTGTGTTTGTTTTCTTGTGGAAGAATTTTTTTGGTTTTTGAGATTTGAGGTTCTTGTTTATGAGAGACTTGATGATGTTTTTGAGGGTTTTGTGAAGAAGTTAAAAGGATGATATGAGGTTGGTTTTATATAGGGGAATTAGTTAACAATGAAGGTTTGCTTCGGATCCTACAACTACACATAATTAAATACTTATATTGTACTACTATATAATAGAAATTTAGTTTCGAACTAAACCGAATTGACGGACCATTACACAAATTTATTTTTCTTAAGATATAAACTGTTTGATTCTATGTATTTTTATTATCAAACTAAATCAAATCGAGATAAACCAAATCAAACCAACTAAATAAATCGAAATTAGAAAAAACCAATATTACTAAAAAAATGTTTGTATATTTTTATAATTGTATGATTAGTTTGATATTTAAGCTTTTTGTAGAAATTTAAAATCAAACCAAATTTAAAATTTATTGAACAAAGCCTAGTTATAAATTTAAAAAATTACTCTAGGACAAAAGATTTAATAATTTTACTACTGTTAATTGATAAACATCCATATAAGAAAAGAAAAGAGAAGAAAAATAATTATTCTTCATTTATACCAATCAACAAAATTTGCCAAGAAAAAAAATTCTTCCCTCCTCTACTACATGGTAAAATGTTATTTTCTTTTGAAAAGATTTTTCTTTTCATTCCATATTTTTTGTTCATTTCCTCTACATTAATCACTATTCACACCCTACGTATTGTTTTGTGTATCATCAATAAAAATAACAAGAAATAGTAGCTAAAGTAAAGTAAATGAAAAAGAGCTGAATTGGCACTTTAAACTAAAGATGCTTGCTTTTCGACGGTGCCATAAGGTTACTTAACGAGGTCCGTGAGGCCATGCATCTCAAGTTTTATTGGTTTAAGAAAAAAGTAGCCAATGAAAATCTGTCACGTACCACCGACTCTTTCCTTACATGTGAGGTGACCTGATACTTTCTCATTTCTTTATTCTCCATATAGTAATATACAGAAAATTTGAAATCAAGGTGATAATAAAAAAAATTTATGCGTAATACAATAGAACTTGACTAAACAGGGATATATGTAATACAATAGAACTTCACTAATACAATAGTTTGTTAAAGAAAAAGCAGGAATATAATATTTTAAAAGACTGATTTAGACTATATTTATGTTTTTTTCTTTGTCAGCACAGTAGTATTATATGTTATCGTTTAGTAAATGAAGTATCACTAATTTGGAGGTTAGCTATGCAAATCTCCACGCTTCCGTAAATAATATATATTGAATTTTCATGATACTTTTTTTTGTCATAGATCTATGGCTGGAATGTTTTCATATTCATATACTCCATATGTTCCATTATATAAAATGTTTACGAGAATTTTATTTGTTTCAATATATAAGATGTTTTACTAATTTCTATACAGATTTTAATGTTATTTGATATTTTTGATCTTTTAAATTTTGTAGTTTACATAATTGGTTGAATTATATTTTTAATTAGTTATTAATGTTTTTTTATTTATAAGTTGTTTTTTTTAATTTTCGTGCATTCAGCCTCGAAATTCAAGCTCTCTCTAGTTAAAAATAACTGTTCTGAAAGAGAAGGATGAATAGTACTTAATTTTGGTATCTATAGCC